GTAAAATTGCTGAAGATCATTGACAATCTAGATCTGTAAACGAGGGACTGTATTTCCTGTAACTTTCTACAGCTTTTGTTCATTAAAATCGAATCGAGACTACATAAAAGGAGAGAGGCAATAAGATATTGAATCAAATTAAACATTTATTCTAGTGGTAAAGAGTAGCAGGCTTTTTCTCAAATACCTCAATGCAAAAGAAGAAAGGCAACAATAATGTACAAAGACTCCCAAAACTAGCACTGAACAAAGCACTGAAAAGAAAAATACAGTGAAGGCAAAGCTTTCATTGCATGGAGATGCATTAAAGTGATATAATTAACAATTAAGCTTACAAATGTCTGTGACAAAATCCTAGTTTGAAGCACCTGCTGCTTTAAGGAGACAAACACATAACTTATTTTTCACTGCACAAAAATAAGCATATATTCCTATTATACACAAACATTCAATAATTGTAATTTCAAAAATCTTATTTACATTTGTGGTAACATTCCCGCATTAGAATTTAAAAAGTCAATGAATGGCATTAAAAATACAGAATACAGAGAAAGATTAAGATAATTATTGTAACTTCATAAACTCTGAAGCTGCAGCTTTCATTTTGTCTACATGAACCTTAAAAAAATGTTTCTTTGAAAAAGAGCTGCAAAGTATACCAGCAATTTAAGAGCATGGTAGATTGATTCAGCCTCATTAAAACAGGTATTTCTTAATCAGTCATTCTGAGGAAAATTACTCTGCTGTATTAAAAGTAAGCAATTGTACAGTTGAAACTGTTGTTTCATTTATTAAAATCCTTAACCTGAGAAACACTCCCACTTGTTAGCTCACTGTATATGCAATTCAACAAAACAAATTTGTTAAGTCATCTACTTCAGTAGAAAAGGGCAAAGATGAAGGCTGGTATACTTTTATTCTGCAGTTAAAACATGTTCTACACAAACTTCAGTTCTACATGGGAACATTCCCATCCTGCTTTCAGAAATCAAACTCTAATTATATGGTCTTGGGAGTCTTTTGTGATCACTGCAGCAAAGGATGTAACACAGGCCAGTTCCAAGTAACTGTCCTTTCACCAGGAATCACTCAGGACAGGGCTGAATTAGCAAAGCCCTCTGGGCAACACTTCTGAGACAAGTGCAGGTGCTGTAAAATAAGTAACCTTTTATTTATTGTTCATTTGTTATAATTTTTTTACATTATGAGTGTCAGTGGGAAAGAAAAAGTTGAAGGGAAGAAACGGGCACATGTCATCCTGGATCCCAATTTCCTCAAGAAGTGAATCCTGGCTGTTGTGTCTATACCTATGGCTGGAGACTGGCCAGTGAAAGGAGATCTGAAGAAGTCAAAGCATGGAAGATCATCTGACAAACACAACCCTCTTCCAAGACACAGTAAAGTCAGAGACGAGCAGTACAAGAGTTTAAAGTAAATTATTATTTCACATGGAATACGTTAGTCTGCTACATATCAGCAAAACTGTGGCACCAGCAGGAAACCAGAATAATCTATGGATTTACATTTCTTTTTTAGTAGAAGAATATGAGTTGCTTCTTGTCACAGGTCTACTGGAAGCTACTGAGCAAATTACAGACTGGAACCTAGATGAACCAGGCTGTATTTACAACTGCTGTCAATTTGCTGAGCAGCTCCAGGTAATTCACATCATGCACTGTCTCTCACTTTCCCCACTTCTAGGAAAATACATATGATTAGTTTCCTGCACTTGTCATAGCACTTTGACATAAACTGATGGAAAGTCCTGCATAAAAGAAAAGTCTTACAAGCTTGTGGATGCAATTCAGTACTGAGATCTTAAAGGGTACAAAACCTGTAATTCCAGGTAAGACGGATTTAAAGGACTTAAACAATTTTGTACTTTCCTGATCTGGGTCCACCAAGAAATAAAGTTGAATCCACCCATCCCTGTTCAAGAAACTCAAGCAGCAGTAACTTTCACCGCTTTTCTGTTGAGTAGCAGCCCTGACTAGAATTATTACAAATTCTTCCGCTTGTTTCTTTTACTCGAATTTGCAAATATGTACTTGAAAATATTCCACAGCTTTCCTCCTTACCTCCTCTACCAGAAAAAAAGAGAGTCTTTCCCAGCCAGGTCCAGGATTAAGAATTATAGTTTGGGAAAGCATTCTTGTCCCTTTCAGTTTGCCTTTAGGAACACAAGTGAATTAATTATTCTCTACATTATACTCTCCAGATGCCCAACTGACACCAATTTCTGGGTTCTGTCCTGGTTTCAGCTGGGATAAAGTTAATTGTCTTCCTAGTAGCTGGTACAGTGCTATGTTTTGAGTTCAGTATGTGAAGAATGTTGATAACACTGCTGTTTTCAGTTGTTGCTAAGTAGTGTTTAGACTAAAGTCAAGGATTTTTCAGCTTCTCATGCCCAGCCAGCGAAGTTGGCATAGGACACAGCCAGGGCAGCTGACCCAAACTGGCCAACGGGCTATCCATACCATGGGACATCATGTCTAGTATAGGAACTGGGAAGTGGGAGCAGGGAATCACCGCTCGGGGACTAGCTGGGTGTCAATCGGCAGGGGGTGAGCAATTGCACTGCGCATCATTTGTACGTTCCAATCCTTTTATTATTGCTGTTGCCATCTTATTAGCGTTATTATCATTATTAGTTTCTTCTTTTCTGTTCTATTAAACCGTTCTTATCTCAACCCATGAGTTTTACTTTTCCCCATTTTCTCCCCCATCCCACTGGGTGGGGGGGGAAGTGAGTGAGTGGCTGCATGATGCTTAGTTGCTGGCTGGGGTTAAACCATGACAGTTCTCTGACAGAAAACCATCTAAGCAGACATCCATTTGCTGAGCTGCTGACATGGACAAATGATGTTGTCACAAGATTTGAAGTCTCCAGATTGACTTAAATGATTTTCATTCTGGAGGAATAATCAAACTGCCTAAACACAGGTATTCAGTGCCATCAGTGTCTAGCGCCACTGTGCCATCCACAGTGGCACAAGATACTGTGTTAAGGCAGCTGAGTCCTAACCTCAACTTCACTAATGCTGGACATCCAACTTCAGCCTAAGTCACCCAATCTTCAGTGCAGGAAGAGGTGCGAAGGTCCTTAAATGCCTCCTGGTACCAGCTTTAACAGGAAAAATGCAACATTTACTGACAGTCTGGGCCATACCTCTAGGATGGCTTCCAGAGCTTCAAGCCCAAGTTTCTGTCCTTGCTCCTGCTGTTCATTCTCCTTCCAAGACTCTTCTGTCTTTATGCAGTCTGTGTATTACAGCAACAATTACACCACTAACTTCTTTCTAGCTTCCGCTGAACAGAGTATCCATGTACTTTTTTTTCAGATTTATCCTTTTGGAAGGGAGCTTACCTTAACTCCTATCCCATGCAAACTTCAATGGAAGCACTTGTCTAACTGTTGCTTCACCGGGTTCCCACACAGAACCTCCTTCCTCAGCTTCAAACTCTGTTTTCTGCCCCTAGATGCTACAAGCCCTTGCCTTTTTTCTGACTTTAACAATGTATAAAAAGTTGATTATTTGTGACTTCTGGGAATAGATTTAGCAGCCCCAATTTAGAAGATGAGGGCTTGTGGCATCAGCCCTTACCATGTTACACCCTGCTATCATTTCCTGCTACAATAGCACATTATGTGAGAAAAATGGGTCAAACTAAAGAGCACCAGAAGCTTTCTCCTTTAGAAGGTAAACATGAAGACTAGCAATGCAAGCTTCCCTTGTGTTTGTAATGAACAGAGCTAGGCCTAGAATGGTAAAGGTAAGTCTTCTCTGCAAGCTAGTTAAGTCACCAACTTACCTGTTGAAGCAATCGGCAAATTCTAATTTCTTGTAACAGACTTTCAGGATATGGATATATGAACACGCTACAGGAGACTTACTAGTTTGTGACAGCTTAAAGACAGAAAACCTAGGGTTTGATATAATTCACACCGATGCCAACATTTTTTTTTCCCCTCCACAGACCCCAACATTACCAGGAGGCTTTTCTACCTTATTTTGTATACAGTTAAAACTGGCCTTAAGTAATCTCTCAAAGGGACTAAGCATTAATATCGTAACACAGGAAGTTAGATGATACAACATGCATACAGGTTTTGTCATGATCAATGTTCATCCTATAAATATTTTTTTTAGAATGCCTTGATTTACTGACCCTGTAAAATGAGGACTTTGATAAAGAAAATCATGATGAAGTTCAGTGTACTGAATTGTACACAATTTGTAGCATTAAGAGGTATTACACAAGAGAATATATACAAGCTTTATCATGAAATGGAAATATGAACAGTACTAATAGTGAGGAGAGCACGGGAATGCACAGAGATTTATTGTAAATTAGTGAAACCGGACTAGCCAAAGACAATTTTTACACACATGAAAACAGAAGAGACAGGAGGGTAGCCTAATTAACTGCACTGAGGGAAAGGAAGTGAAAAACAGGCACATGCAATGAGTTTCTGTTGTGAACAATACACTAAGTGCCAAGTGTGCCCAGACAAAACTACTTTCTCGTTCTTAATGTTAAAAAAAAATAAATAAATCTTACTCATCTACAGCTTGGAAGGAAAATCCAGAAATAAAAATCAATTATTATCTTTTTAAAATTGCCTTTTTAAACAAAAATGTATGGCTATTTGGGCTACAGTGTAATCAGAAGCTCCTCAAAACAAACCACCACTCAGTCACTGCCAAATTCTGATAATCCCAAACAATGTATCATAGAGAAGATGCAGCTATTAAAAAAGTATGTTGAAATTTACTTCAATAATAATAAGTGCTGTACAGTACACTGTTCTAGCAGAGACATTCGTGTCTGTTGTCTGTCATACTAGTTGAAGTTACAACTGATACTAAAATGTATGAAATCAAACTGATTTAAGTATGTTCTAGCACACAGTTTTTAAATGTGGGAAAGAAAAAAAAAATGAGAACAAACCCAGTACCATTCTAACTATCAAAAGTTGTATGAATAGTTCAACTTACTCTTTTACTGAGGCAGATAACTGGCCACATACTACAACCTAAAGTGCAGCAGCAGCAAAGGCATCCACATAGTAGCCATCGTACATTAACTGGAAGGTTCTTCTTAAGACAACTGTTAACTCTACTGATGCTGGCTTTAAATTCTTCAGGTGCAACCTACAAGGGGGGAAAAAAAAAAAAACCAAGACAGCAAACTAAAACCATAGCAGTGCTATTTATTACTCTTACAGTGGTCTACACCTGGAACTCTTGTTTTTGTAATAAAATCTTAACTCCAATTCCAAATGCCTATTCACAGATACTCACTCACCTTTCCAGTTAAAGACGAAGGAAATTCTGCTTCAAATTTGTTGCTTAGTCCAAACCTGCAAAAACAAAAAGATCATACCAAAATTATAAATAACCCCAATTCATGCCACGAGTTACAAGCACCTCATAATACTTCAGGGTTTGTAACACAACAGCATTAATTTCAGGAAAAAATAGTTGTTATTAAAAGTAATTCCTAAAATTATCTTAACAGACAAAAGTACACCATTGTACACAGTTCAAAATCCATCTTGCCTATAGTCTCCTCTTAAAGTTCTGTTGATACTGTTGACTCCTCCCCAAAGTCAGCAAAATCTTTATAAGCAATAGTGGCAAGCGTGAAAAGTGAAGGGAAGTACTTAAGGGGAGAGGGGAATTAAGTTAAGGCCACAGTTTGAATTACCCCCCCTCCTCCACCAGTACAGATGTATCTTGAAGGAAAGTTCATCCAGTGCTATTCTACTCGGGCTGTGTTAAATAACTGTTCTAAGCATAAATACCAACTTGTTTATTCAGAAAAAAATACACTATTAAGTTTCAGAACACAAAACACTTCCTGACAAAACACGATTTAAATTGTAACTAATTTGAAAGAAACATACCAATTACAAATGTAAAGCTATGAAGCAGTCTGAGATGAGCTGGAGTTACTGACTATTCTGGGTTTCAGAAGATCTAAAGATTAGAAGAGTTTCACCTTGTCTACAAAAAAAAATTGGGTTTTATCCTACAGTTGGCTCATTGGGTTCATGAATGGATGAACCTCAAAGAAAATCTGAATATTTTCTGGCATCTGGTATGGGCAATAACTTCTAATAAGGACTATACAGTCGAACAAATTAATGAAACTGTATGTCTGGCTACTAATTCGGTGAATAGCAGTCAGTGTAAAATTTAAGTTGTAATTAATAACCTTCTGAATATAAACCAAAGCAGTCTTAATGTCAGATACTACAAACAACACAAATCAGAGATTAAACTGCTCAGGACTTGAATATTGGCAGCAAGACCTATCACACATTGCTCAGTTGTATGCAGAAAAGCTTACCTGAGCCTTGATAGTTGAAGATTTTAAAGACATAATTTGCTTTGAGAATATGTTTATTGAGCATTTAGGCGTTTCTCAGGGGTTGGGGGTTTTGGGGGGGGGGGGGGGGCCCTTACTGAACTGAATGATCTTTATGCCAATGGAGAACTTTGTCCAAGTAATCAAATGGGCAGTTAAGTGCTGTACAAACAGTGAGCTACTGTGGAAGGGCCTCACAAAACCCAGTGGACAAAAGGCAACAGATGAGCTTCTGTGTAGATAAATAAAAGGTGGTGAATCTTGGGAAAGCTAAACTATGTTTATGTGACACTCAGCTAAAGTTTGGCAGCTACAGCTCACAAGAGATATTTTATCACCACTCATGATTCTCTAAAACATCAGCTCAATTCAAACAGCAGTTGCCAGAAATAGCAATAAAATACTGGGCACCACTAGGAAGGTGATAAAGAACATCACAAAGGGCATCATTTTGACTCTCCATAAAACCCTCGTATACCCACATATTCAGTACTGGGTGCAGTTCTGCCACCCACATTTCATGGCAGAGTTAAGAGAAAGCAGAGAGAAGAAAGACTAATATAATTAAGGGAGTAAAGCAGCTGCCTTAGGAGACTAACAAGGCTGACACTAGCTTGGAAAAGAGAAGGCTGAAGTGGGGTATATGATCAAAGTGCAAAGATTCAGGAAGGCAGTGGATAAGGTGAATGATTAACTGTTAATCACCAAATCCCACAACAGAGGGCACTCACTGAAACTAGTCAGAGATTGCTTTAAAACTGGTAAAAGAAAAAGTGCTTCTTTAAGCTGCAAGCAGCAAAATTTCTGGGTTTGTTTCCACTTCAGATTAGTGACAAACTGTGCCAACAGACTTGAAGAGAGGTTACACAAGTTCCCTGACAAACAGACACTAAAGGAAAGCTGATGTTGAAGTATATAGCGCATAACACAACTGCAGATGCCAGAGAGTACAAGGAGAATGGACACCAGGAACAGCTAGACTTGCACATAACCCGTAAGTGGCAACGCCTGTTGCCACAGTTTGTAACAGCACGCTGGGCTAGACAGTTTATGAATTTGATGCTGTAGGCAATTTTTACATATGGTCTTAAGTAAAAAAAAAAAGTCATCTCCCTGTCATTGACTGCAGCAGTAGAATCATAGAAACATAGAATGATTTGGGCTGGAAGGGACTGTCAAAGATCATCTAGTCCAACACCCCTGCCACCAGACCAGGTTGCTCAAAGCCCCATCCAACAGGACCTTGAACACTTCCAATAATGGAGCATCCACAACTTCTCTGGGCTACCTGTTCCAGTGTCTCACCACCCTCATCGTAAAAAATGTCTTCCTTATATCCAACCTAAATCTATGCTCTTTCTGTTTAAAACCATTGCCCCTTGTCCTGTCACTACAGGCCCTGGTAAAAAGTCTTTCTCCATCTTTCATATAAGCCTCCTTTCTATATTGAAAGGCCGCAAAAAGGTCTCCCCAGAGACCTTACTTACACATAAGTTACCTAGCATATCTGAGTATTTGTAATTAGAATAGTAGCTCTGCAACTCATACAAAACCCTCCAAACTGGTGAAGTAAGAAATGAAAATTGTTAACCAAAGAAACATATGGCAAGTTGACCACTTCAACACAGAACAAATAAAACCCATGCTTACTGGAAACATACCTCTACCATTGAAAATCCTGTTGAATACTCCATGATAGGAGGACCATCCACCCTTTCCCCAAAATCCTGAGTGAAATCAAGTGCTGAAGCAAAAGTTATGTAGCTGTCAGAAAGAAGTGTCATGCCCTATCAGTTAAGTTACTTAAAATTGCTAGTAGTTTGAAGTAGAAACCTAAGCCTGAAAAAATCCCTTGGATCCATACGCATTTCATAAGTAGCCAAGCCTGGAGAAGGACTCCAAGCTCAAGATACACAGCTGCCACCAGAAGTCTCAAAACTAAAAGTTAACACCACTTTACTGTATAATTAATTCATCAAATCTAAAGAGATGTCTCTTCAAAGAATGAACTTCATGTACTTGATGCTTCAACATCCAGAAAAGATTTACTATGAATAATTGAATTAAATATAAAGTTGAGTGTGCAATAAAGGGAGTGGCCAACTACAAGGATAATTCAGTCCAAAGCAGCTCTTATTGCAAGAGCTAAAACAAAGCTGAGCCCCTGACCAAAAGATGAGACAGAATTTCAGCTGTCCCTCTACCCAGAATACTAAGGAAGCCCTTTACTCTGAGGCATGAGCAGGTTAAGTCAAAGGCACAAGGAAGTCTCCCTGCTCTCACTTAAGTCACAAAAAGATGTAATTGCAGGGAAAGCCCTGCTCAGTCTCACACTGAAGACTGGCTGAGAAATCAGCAGGACAGAAACAAGGCTTTTTTTGTGAATGCGTGTTCCAAAAGTATTCAAATGTTGACAGCTCCATCGAACACAAGCAAATATTCACAGAGATGGCAAAAGCCATGCCTGACAAAGACATCCCCGCTGGAAAAGCTCTAAAGGTATCTGAATTTACAAACACTCTGAGACAGTGAGGTACAGAAACTTCTGACCAATAGTTACACTTTGGTCAAGTTACAAGCAAATGAGACCGAGACTCCGTACTCTAGGCTTGTGGTCATGTTTAATACATGGTGGAGTAGCAAAACTGAAACATCAAAGCTAACCCAACCAGCTACCAACATCTTTCTGAGCTTTCCATATTACAGTTTTGTCACAATATACAGGTAGTAAAATAAGGGTGACTCTGTACATTAAAAGCTTTGGCAAGTAATTATGTGATCTCAGTATTATCGCTTTTGACTGCAATCTGCAATTTGGAAATTAAAATATTAGAAAATCCACAGAACACTACTACACGTTCACTGTAAAGACGTAAAAGCAGCAAAAACTGTCTCAAAATCAAACACTGGGAATCAATATTTTGGAGATGCATTTTCATGAGACAGCTGTCCTCATTATAGCACTAGATTTCTTTTGTACAATACTCCATCTTCAGTGACACATACCATTCCCATGTGCCTTTCCCATTCTACATCATGTCTTCAACAGATCCATGCTCACCTCATGCATGAGTACTTTCTTTAACCTTCCTGGAACCTGAAAAAATGTTTCTTGAACATGACTCTGCTTGAAAGGTTCGGCTGAGTTCCTGCCCTTGTGTACAGTGGAGAAAGAAATGGCAAGAGGTGGAAACTTCAAAGTACAGAATTTTACAGTATAGGACACAGCCAATCTGCAACATTTTCTCAGCTTGCAGCTCAGATCTTCCTAACACACAAACTGACACGTGCTATCCTCTTTCTCTTTGCCCTCTCTTATGGGGACACTAAATCATTTTTTCCCTGCTCTCAACCATACTTTTTAGTTCCACATGTTCACAACCCTTACAAAATATATATTTATTCCACAAATCTTAACACTCTCCATCCATAATTCTCACAGCCCTGTTTTCACTCAAAGTGAGGTTTCACAAAGTAAGGTTCAAAAAATATATAAGCAGACTTAAGTTTAATATTAAAGAAACTGACTAGGGTGAAAATATATTTTGTGAGGTTTCTTCCCCTCCAAACAGTTATCTTGCATCAACACACAATGCACTAAGATAACAAACAGCACAGAAAGGCATTCACTAGCACATCACAATGGCTCTCCGTCATTCCAGCACTGCAAAAGACTAATAAATCCAATATTACCAGCTAATAAAGTCTCGTATATATAAGGCATTTATGTGTCACTGGTCAAGGAACAGGAAAGCACAGGAAAACAGTCACGTCACTGGAAAACACAATCAGACCTATCACAAATATTCTCTTTGCAGTTTCAAACTCATCATGTACCTCTCTTTCTACCCTAATATGATTTTAGAAACAGCCACGAAATACCTTGGACTTTCAATTCAGTTGTAAGTAAAGTTCTTTATTTTCCCAGCTATCCAGTTTCTTGCCATTAGAAAAGATCACCTCAAGTTATCAGAAACCAGGTCAAATATTACTCCTGACTACTGAGCTATCTAAATTCTGCTGGTGTGAAAACAGTTTAACTGAATATTTAAAAAACAATTATAAAAAAAAAGGAATTTTAGAATTGTGTGCAGCATGGTCCAAACAGGGAGTTTAAGAGGAAAACTCTTAGTGCTAACCAAAAGCCCCACACCCTGGAAAGGCAAGGCCTTCATGTTTTATTTGGATAATATTTACCTGCTTTCCTTTAATTACTTTCAACTATTCAGCTTAGAAAGGACTCTCACACACTTCCATTGTCTGTTGGATGAAATCAAGTAATAGTAAATGTCTTTCTGACATTAATCTGTAGTCATGGAAATGACATATTTTAAGCTCAACATTATGACTCCTGTGTAAGATTGGAGAGGATATGACAATAGACTATGAAAAGAGAGCTTCTGTTTAAATATACACACGGAAGAAGCAGTCAGCAACTCTTTAAACTGCAGAGCCAGGGACAGATCAATCCAGTATTGCTTAACAGCTGCTAATTTTTGTCAGACCTTCAAAATGCATATATGCTTTTATACTAGGCAAGACTAATTCATTATATACATAGGACTTGACCCATTCCTTAAATCCACCAAGTGAACGTTCTGACAGTGATCTAACTTTTAATAAGCTTCTTGATCAATGACAAAAAAAGTTATTGGCCTTACAAAGGTAAAAGTGGGTGATGCTATTTAGTGAACTGTTCACACCTGGCATGATAAAGTAGATGAAGATCAATTGCCTAATTTTGGAGGTAAATGTTCCTATTTCATTGCTCATCCAAAACCTAAAGAACAAATATTTTAAGGAAGACCTTGAAGTAATAACGAGCTACTGACCATTAATGAACAATTAATGGGGCAACCATCCTTCGTCAACCACAATGCCCTTACTAGTCACAGACACGCTACAGAAGCTTCCTCACAATTCCACTAATGGGCTTTGATCTTGTCTCACACAACTTCTCTTCCAGTATTGGAGAAGAAACCAGTGTTTGCCTCCATTTCAGTTCTTGATACTCTTGCATTTGCTAATATGAAAACTATCTAATTGGGGGTTTGCTCTGTTCACTAGAAACAGGCTAAGGCAACCAGCTTATTTTCAGAGAGGTCACTGGATGGTAACAACTTTTGTTCACAATAAACAGTCATACGCTGAACACTTCAGCTACACGCTTCTGTTCCTTTACCAGGCCTCCTCAGCCTCCTGCCCAGCCACGTCCTACCAACCCTCCAAACCTCTCTCAGACTATCATGTCTTACTTCCTGTTTCTAACCAGACAGCAAACTGCACTGCTCAGCTGTTAGTATTACTTAATGTCAACCAAATACTGAAGCAGTAACAAAGTGCCACAAAACTACTCAAATTTAACCCCCGATTTCTGGACAGGTCAGTATATGAAAATCAGTAGAGTTCATGGGACTCGGAGCACTAGACCACAATACCTTCAACTTTTGTGCTTCTATTGCAAGCCTAGTCCTGCTGAGCAGTGAATACTAAAAAAAAAGTTTGCACTGCTGCATTTTGTCTCCAGGTTGATATTTCAGCCTCTGAAACTGTACATCATAACTGACAACAGCTACACTTCAGCAGAGTGAGCCTGACAAAACTGACTGAAAGAAAGACACCCTCATCTGTTACATTACTGAGAAGTACTACACTAACTCACAGTCACTTGCTGCTGGATTGTCAGGGATAGCAAACAAAACTCAGAAAACAAAACTCACAGTCACTCCCATGGTAAACACAGTGAAACAACACATATCAATCACAACTTAACATGATTTTACATGTACCTACCTGACTCACAGACGCCTTTTCTTTCTTAAAGTCCTCAGAGCTATACTAGCGGCCACACGTTAAATGGGAGTAGGTAGCAGGTACATAAACAACCCTAAGCAATAGTCCAGCCGGTCATGTGCTGGCATATACCTGTTATACGCAGGAACACGGGCACCAGGCACCTTACTTCCTGACAGCTCATCACTATGGGCAAATACTTCACATTCCTCTGTCAGTCACAGCCCAAGCCAGCCTTGTTTCCTCTGCGCCTCGTTAGAGGTTTACGGCCGCTTGCGAGTCCCAGGCGGCTCCCAGCTGCCCGGCGGGGCTGAGGAGAGCCCCCTCGCCCTCCCACGGGGGAAGGGGGGGGGAAGCAGTCCCGGACCGGTGCTCCCCCCGCCCACCTCCCCGACTCGCCCCAAGTTGCAGCCGCCGGCTCGGCGCC